GAGGGGTGGAGTACATGCAGTGCTGCAACCACGGAGATACAGCGCTGCAAATGCCTTGCCAGTGTGGACGGGGAGTGAGTTACAGCGCTGGGGGAGCCTTTACAGCGCTGTAACTCGCAAGTGTAGCCAAGGCCCAAGTTAGGGTTTTAAGTAAAACCAACAAAACAGCCCTCACTGTAAAGGCTGGATACTCCAGTATCTAATATTAACCCTCCACATAAAATCTGTTACTGTCCACAAGGGACTCAACAAGGGAATCCAATCAAGCCCATTCACCAGTATTCTTCAGAGACTCCACACTTAAGATATAGGTCAGAAATCAATTTTACTATGTCCAGTTGTGACATACCATGGCAGAATCCAGACTAGTGAGGGTTGTGTCATCCCTGCCCTGCAACCTTGGGTGCCTTACGATGCCTTGCCGTAGCAGCTCCTACCTGGGCCACTCACAAACAGTCTCCCAGCATGCACGCCACACCTTGAGTGTCTGCATGTAACTGCAGCCTGTTAGCTACACCGGGCTCTCACCAGTATTGGTCAGTGCTTAATTTGTGCTGGGGCTGAGTCGCAGCACCTCTGGGCTTGGCAGTTCATAGCCCCAGCACCTCTGGGCTTACCGCATCAGTTATTTTGTGTGCGCAAGAGATTCAAGCAGCAGCACAACCTTCCACCTGCACTCGCCCGTCACTCAGCTGCCAGAGGAATGTCCGTGGAGCACTGCATGGCTGCTTGCGTGACGCTTGAGTCTCACCATCCTGCCACCTCGAGCTTGAGCCCCGGCACCTCTTTCATTACAAATTAAGCACTGGTTTTGATTATATTGCAGGGAGACCCCAACACACCACCAGTCCTGTATCTTCCCCAGAAATGTACGTCCTGTACTGCCCAGCCCTTTCCTGGACAGTACAAATATATTAAGTCCATTATACCTTTAATGGTATAACATGCCAACGTATTACCTTAAATAGCTACCCAGACATTTCAACTTAAACACACTGCATAAGATTCAACAGTAAAACAAGTTTATTAACTACAAAGAGAGAGATTTTAAGTGAGTTCAAGTAATGAGGCATAAAAGTCAGAAATGGTTACAAGAAAAATAAAAATTAAAACATGTACTAATATCTACTTACGACACTATTTTAGTTGCAAAACAAACTTTCTCACCACATGCTTCAGCAAATTACTGACCAAACTGTCAGGTCAAGACTCCTTTCCCTGAGTCCAAAAGCGGTTTCCTTTTGTTGTCTCAGGTGCAAAGAATGAGGTGCGCAGGGGATGCAAGAGAAGTGCTTTGGGTTGTTTGTCTATCCTTTTTATAGCAAGTAGTGGGGGTTTGCCCATTAGTAAGTGGAGAATAAGTAAAGATAACAAAGGCAAAGATGAATTTAGAGTTGGTAACTTAACTGAGAATTTCCAGACTTTCTGCAGCTCAGGATTTTTTAAGCTGCAATATACTCTAGATCAGTAGGTCTCAACCAGGGGTCCGTGAGCCCTTTCAGGGGGCCATGGAGCCCTGCAGCTGAACCCCGGTGCCCTGAGCCCCAGCGCTGAAGTCCCCCCCCAACCAGAAGTAAAATTATGCCTGTGCCCAAGAGTCCCCCCGCCGGCCTGGAGCCCCGAGTGTCCCCCTTTCCCCTTCCACCCCCCCTCCGCACTGGGCCCTGGCGTTTTTATAGCATGTTGAGGGGGGCCTCAGCAAGAAAAAGGTTGAGAACCCCTGCTCCAGATTACTGACTTTCAAACTTTATTTTTAGGTAATTAGGGTCTTGTAAATTAGTAGTCTATTTACAATTTTAACATGAATGCGAAATGCAAACTTTGTCTCTCTTCTTCCCAGCTCTCTGCAACAGCAATCAGCTTTTCAGAATGACTGATAAATTCCCTACATGACCCTCAGAACAAAGATCTGAAACTGGCTATCAATGCCCAGAGATCACACCTATTAAAATAGAACAAGCACTTTCAAAATAAAACCTTACCAGTGTCATTCTCTGCTCCCCCATCCCACAGACAATCCCCACCTCTCTATATACTATTGTAGGTTCTTGCCCACCACCTACCCTCCCCTTTCACTCTCTTCTCCCTCCCTCTTCTTTCTCCTCGCTCTGCAGATGGTGTGCCTCCCCCCTGCCCCTCCATCACTTCCTCTTTGGTGGGTTTCTCACAGCTCATCCTTCCTCCCCCACTACTTCACCTACTGCTTCCCAACCAATCACCTGGGCTCTCACTCTACTACCCTTTCTTTCCTCTTCTCAAAGGCTCTCTGGCTTCCTTCTTCCTCTGGATGTGTAGACAGTGTGAAAAATCCAGAGCTAGACAGAAAGATCTCTGGATTTACGTGGATGTCTACATTCTAGTAGTTGTGTATTTTGTCCCAACAAAATTATGTGATACAACACAAAAGTTTATGCAGCATATTTCAATTCAATGAGGATACTATAATTACATCTTACATAGTGATATAAGAAAGTTTAAAGTATTTAAATACAGCATGCACACAGCACAAAACATGCTCAAATATTTGATATCTTCACAGCCCCAGCACATACAGAAATTGAGCCATAAGGAAAAAGCCACAATCAATCAAGTAAAGATCTCAATCAAATTAAATATTGCACCAGCAGAGGGCAGATCAGCAATCATGATTGTTGATCTAGGGTTCTAGGCCCATCATCAGAAAAACTAAACTGCATGGTGATGACACTAATATTGTTACCTACCTACGCTCCTGCTGGACTGACTCTGGGATTGGACGACCAACCTTTATTTCAATGAACTCCATCGCTTTTGGCTTGTGATGCTTGAGGGGGTAAGGATGTGGATTTCATTATATCCTCTCTTTTTGTCTCGGATGTATTATTCAACATTAGTAAGGATGGCAGAACTGTTTTATTTGCATTATATTGTTTGGTACGTGGCATAACGTTTCTCTTCTCTCTTCTATTTCCTCCCAGGACCAAGAAATGATAGTGGTTTGGGTTCAGTGAGCTAATGTCCCTCCAGGTTTGTCAAGACACTCATTCAAAAGACTAAATGCAGTCAAAAAGAATAGTCTCCACAATGCAAGCCTGGAACTCATGTCCTTGCCTGTTTAAAACTACAGTGTGTTCATTAACACCGCCCTCAGCAATAGCCATGAAGTCATTGGCATCCTCCAGCATGAGCTCCTCATTCAATTAGGGTATGTCTACAGCAAAGAAAAACCCACAGCTGGCTGACTCAGACTTATGGGGCTCAGGCCACAGGCGCCGACTTTTCGAAGTGCCGAGGGGTGCTCGATCCCCAGTTCTGCCCCAGGTCTTGCCTGCACACCACCCCTCCCCACAAGGTCCCACCCAGACCCCACCTCTTCCTGCCCCTGCTCCACCTCTTCCCACCTAGCCTCGCCCCCTCCCCTGAGCATGCCGCATCCTTGCTCCTCCCCCCTCCCTCCTGCATGTCACAAAACAGATCTGATTGCGGTGGGCGGGAGGTGCAGGAAGGGAGGGGGAGGTGCTGATCAGCAGGGCCCGCCGGTGGGTGGGAGGCGCTGGGGGTTTGGGGAGGAGCTGATGGGGGGGCTGCCGGTGGGTGCTTAGCACCCACCATTTTGTCTCTGTGGGTGCTCCAGCCCTGGAGCACTCAGAGTCGGTGCCTATGGTTCAGGCTGCGGTGGGGCTGTTTCTACTCTGCTGTGTAGACTTCTGCGGTTTGTGCTGGAGCCCAAGCTCTGGGACCCTCCCACCTCACTGGGTCCTATAGCCCTGGTTCCAGCCTAAGCCCAGATATCTACACACACAAGTGAAACAGCCTAAGCCCCGCAAGCCCAAGTCAGCTGGCACGGGCCAGCTGACTTGGGCTTAGACGTTCCAAAGGCAGGCCACATTGAGGAACATACAAGCAGCAATAACTCTTAAGCACACCTTCTCAGTCTTCATCTGCAGCTATCCACCAGTGTAGTGCAAATTATGGGAAATGTGTTGTTAAGGTGCAGAATTCCCCTCTCAGTTATGCTCCGAGCCTCACTGGTATGCAATAACTTACCCAGTAGCCACTCCTTGTCCAATTCCCATTGTTCCAGAAATTCCTGGATCTTTGGACCTCCAAAAAGTAAAACAAAGATACATACAGACCCGTCTCTCCTGAAAAAGTAGCTACTTTTGTACCCACCTAAAAGAGGCTCTGCTACTTGAATTCAGCTCTTTTGTGCTTTTCCCCTTGAGAACATAAAAGATTCCTGAGGCCAAGCTTCTCCATCTTACTGGGCATCACCTCACATGACTGGGAAACTGTGGAACCCAGCAGTAATGAGGGGCCCATTTCATGACCACAAGGTCTGCCATGGCTGTCACATGGTGGCACTGCTGTGCTCTGGACTGGGTATGGAGCAAGATGGTCGTGGCTGTGCTCAGTAAGAGGTCAGAGGAAATGTGGCAAATGTTGGCATTACTGTGCTCAATGGGCACAGTAGGGGATGGATGAGCTGGGGCAGGGCTGTCAGACGCTTGGCTGTGCCCAGGGCAGGGAGTGGGGGGCGGAGAGGCTGCCATGGCTGTGCCCAGAGCAGGAGCGATGGGGGCGACCATGGCTGTGCCCAGGGCGGGGGGCGGGCTGCCACAGCTGTGTCTAGGGCAGGGGATGTGCGTGGCGGGGGCTCCCATGGTTGTTTCCAGGGCAGGGCGTGGAGGCTGCCATGGCGATGCTCTTTCCCTAACGGCAGACTAGCACCTTATCACCGCTCCACCCGTTATCGGGGCGGCGGCGCCAGCTCGTGTGTATGGCGAGAAAGTTGTTTGCAGGAAACCCACCACCGGCACCCACTAGGACCCGCTGCGCGCGCAACCACATAATCTGACTGAGCACACGCCACCCGAGAGTACGAGTTCTCGCGCGGTTTTGATCGCCCCGCTCCCGTTCTCCCGGCCGCCCTGCTGGGAAGACCCTGAGACACCAGCAACTCTCGCGAGATGTAGATGAGCGCGCGGCCGGGCCGAGCGCAGCAGCAGCGCGGGAGCGAGGCTGCGATGGGGCTGCAGGGGGTCAAGGCCGTGTTCTTCGACTTGGACAACACGCTGGTTGACACGGCCGCCGCGGGCCGGCGGGCCATAGAGGAGGTACCGGCCGGGCTGGCTCGGCGCGCAAGGGTGACACCACCAACTCCGGGAGGGGCTGCCCCGTCCCGGCACCTGTTCCCTACACCCCGCGCATGGTCACGACAGCCCCCCCCCGCCCAATCCCCCGGGCACGGCAGCCCCTCTCCCCCTCCCCTCCCCGCCCAATCCCCCGGCAGCCAGGGGGCTCCACACGCTGCCCCTGCCCCAAGTGCTGCCCCTGCAGCTCCCATTGGCCACAAACAGGGCTAATGCGAGCTGCAGGGACAGCACCTGCAGACCTCTGGCTGCACCTCCACGTAGGAGCCAGAGGGGGGACATGCCGCTGCTTCTGGGGGTTGTTTGAGGTAAGCGCGGCCCAGAGCCTGCACCCTTGACCCCCTCCTGTGCCACAATCCCTTGCCCCAGCCCTGATTCCTCTCCAAACCCCTCAGTCCCACCCTCCTGCACCCCAGAGCCCGCACCCGCAGCCAGAGCCGTCATCCCCCCATGTGCACCCCAACTACCTGTCCCAGCCCAGAGCCCACTCCTGCACCCTGAACTCATTTCTGGCCCCACTCCAGAGCCTGCACCCCCAGCTGGAGCCTGCACCCCCTCCTGCACCCCAACCCCCAATTCCATGAGCATTCATGGCCCACAATACAATTTCCATACCCAGATGTGGCCCTTTGGCCAAAAAGTTTGCCCACCCCTACCTTACATGGGCATATTATGTGTATGCTACACTCAGGGGTGAAGTCATTTACTCTCTTTTGCTCCCTCCCATCTACCCTCTGGTGTTAGAGGGAAGCCAAAGCATAGTGCCTTCTGAGGGCTCTTGTTGATGCAGTGGAGCTATGCTTATGGGTTAGTTTTTAAAAGAATTCAGTGTTAAGTCACTTTAAACTATGGGCCACATTCTGCCATCCTTACTAATGTTGAATAATACATTACTCAAGGAGTATCCCGATTTATTTCAGTGGGACTGCTGTGGAAGAAAGTAATACTTCATATAAGCCAGGGTGGCAGAATCTGGCCCTTAGTGTTTAATGCCTTATTGTAACCTTCCTTTCCCTTTACATTTGTTAAAGGTAATAAATGTCTTGCAATCAAAACATCAGTGTGATGAAGGAGAAGCTCACATGATTTGTAATAAGGTCCAAGAAAAACTCCTCAAAGAGTGTCATGATCCAGCTAAGGTGTGCATTACTGATTTAAGGATCTCACATTGGGAAGAAGCAATACAAGAAACAAAGGGTGGTGAGGCTAATCGAAATATGGCGGCAGAATGTTATTTCCTATGGAAAACTACACGCCTCCAGCATCTAACCCTAACAGAGGAGACAAGAAGCATGCTTACAGAACTTCGAAAAATGGTCCGCTTGCTTTTATTAACTAATGGAGACAAACTCACTCAGAGGGAGAAGATTGAAGCGTGTGCCTGTCAACCATACTTTGATGCCATTGTTGTAGGTGGAGAACAGAAAGAAGAGAAACCAGCACCATCTATATTTCATCATTGTTGTGATCTGCTTGGGGTACAGCCTTGGGACTGTGTGATGGTTGGTGACTCACTAGACACAGATATTCAAGGAGGCCTGAATGCAGGTTTGAAAGCAACTGTCTGGATAAATAAAACAATGACAATGCCAGTAAACACTTCCCCAGTACCTCATTATATAATTTCTTCTGTTCTTGATCTTCCAGCACTCTTACAGAATATGGACCACAAAATGAATGCTAACTTAGAAACTGACAAAATGGTTAGTATTAATGACGTACATGACAGTGCCAATATAGAATCTAAGAAATGCTAAGTCCTTAGCCTGCTAATGTTTTTGTTGAAAGTTTGGCCCTAAAATCTTACACACGTAAACATGTTTACTCAAACAGTGGATGGGTGAGTTATTTATGAGTGGAGTTCAATAGAAGAAAAGTATTGAAGTGAATCTTGTTATTGATGGAAATTTTTTGAAAAGAAATGAAGCATAAGTGCAATTGTCTTAAATTTATGCTCTACATCTGGAAATTACTGAGAGACTTTTTTAGCATAGGTCAGAGACAACCCTGCTCATCAGTCTTTTGGTTTTACAACGAAAAAGGAAAAACTCCATGTTTTGATTTTCATTTTGGTTTGCTGGCTTATAAATTTAGCAGGAATTTCAGTAATAAAAGATTGTTTGTGGTGTATAAAACAATAGAAGATGGAAGAGAATATGGTAGAATTCTAGATTCTTCCCAATGTAATCCATAGATTTCTCAATGAGGATTAAAATGAATTTCCCCATTTGAAAAAGTGATTGGATCTAGTACATAAAGCAGCCCATTCTAAAATTTTTGACTTTGCTTTTTGGGCAAACTTATTGACTTTGTAATTTTGGAAGCTAGTGACTTTTCTCAAATTTTGCAGTGACTGTTCTTAAATGATAAGACCCAAATCCCTGTCAGAAAAATATATATGTACACCTGAAAGCTTGCGTATGTATAGGGGACCATTTATCAGCAGGACTTCATGGATAGAGTTTTTTGTTTTAATCACATACATGTATCTGCACTAAAACAGTATTTGTAATGCAGATTATGATTTACGTTGCACTATATTGTGAGTTAACTGATTGATTTTTTTTTTTTGGACATTTGCAATGGTCTTTGCTCAGTTTTGTCTAATATTCTTAAAGCTCATGCAGTTGTTCTGTTTGGTTTTTATTAGTGAATTTTGATCAAACTTTGGTCGTGCAGTTGGCTCAGGAAGGTGCAGGGGTCTACCCACTTGGAGCCAGTAACAGGATTGCAGCCTTTTTGGCTACTACTTCCATTGCTGTAGAACCTTTCCAAGTTCTAGCTTCTACATGTACTTCATCTGTATTTCCAAAAATTGTATAGTAGTAAAAAATAAGTGGTTTGCATAACTTTTCCAGGAACTTGAATTCAGGTATAGGATGTAATACTGGATAAATAGCTTTGCAGTGTATACTATTGACGCTGGATTTAGATTACCCTGTTTATGCCATATTATAACACTACTCTTCCTCCACAAATTTATTTAATTTTGCTGTACTTCATTTCCTTTTGTGACAGTCAGTTAATTTCCCTCCTTATAAAACACCTCTTTTTTTCAAGAATGTAACTTTTCTCACACTTCAAAAATATGAACATTTGGGAACATCAAATTTTAATTTTCATATTTTTAGAAATTGGGATTAATACACTTATTGGAAGTATTGCACATTTTAACACCCATGCCTGTCTGTTATTATGTGATGGATCACAAATTTCATGTTTTAAAAAAATGTTCATCACAATTGATAGTTGTATTTTGGATATGTTTGTGAGTTAGGATAAAAACATTTCAGAGTTGGAGAGTCATAGAACACCATAAAGCAAGGAAACCTACCAGAAGGTGTGGAAGGACACGTCTACATGAGAAAGGTTCAACTAATGCAGCTAAGGTGTGAATTTAAACCTATTTTAAACTAGTGCAGTGCCCTGCATAGACTTCTTTTGGTTTAAATGAGGCTTTTTTGGTTTAACTTAAATTGATTGGCAACAGAGTTAAGCTAAATCAAAATGTCATCCCTAAACTGAAATAAGTGTCCATGAAGGATTTTGCACTTTTAAAAATCAATTTTAAGAAAAGTTCAACTTCTTCATTTAGACAAGCGCTAAGGGGGGACCTCAAGGAGCAAACTTCCAGAGCCATACAGAACAATCAGTTGAAGAAAAGCAGGCACCACCTAAGTCTAACATAATTATGGGGAAAAATTAAGAAGGAAGGCTAAGCATTAAATGAGGTCTTTGTAGAGCAATAAAATGTATACAAAAGGTTAGATGGTGTCACCAAGTATTCAAATACTTTAGACTGTTGGCTTGGTTCTGTAAATGAAGACTGTTTAAAAAAAAAAAAAAAAAAACGTTACCACAGCCTTCCAAGATGTGTTACACTAAAAATCTATTGTTTGTACAGCACCCAGCAGAATGGAAGCCCAGTCTGATAAGGGCCTCTGAGTGCTAGTATAATAAAAAACAATCCATAATTATGGGATGAGGCTCTGGACTGCAGATGTCCATGGAGCCATAAGGTCAGATCCTCAATTGCTGTAAATTTGACTTCAATGAAACTGTAACTATTTATACAAATTGAGGATCTGTCTAATTCTTTTTCTTGCCAATAATGCACCACCATTCTGCCTCAGGCTGCTGCGCCTACTGGCCTATTTATTGTTTGGAAGGTCTCACTCTGCTTTAGAGAGGAACATTGTTATTTCTGCTTTGCACATGGACAGTGTTTTAAAATGATCAATAAAACAAGAAGAAAGCACAGTAACTGCATACTCCGCTACATAGGGGTCACACAAATATTTTTCCTTCATTGCGGAGTACTGTACCAGGATACATGTAGCTACCAGTGTGCACTTTGGCTACTATTAATTATTACTATGCTGCTATAAAACAAGAAGAATGTAGAACATGTTCTTTTTTCCTATCTAAGGTGCTTTCAGAGTATGTCATCATAGCTAGGTTATCTGCATGTCTTAAACTGGCAGGCTGGTTTTCTTGAGATTGATCTCTTCCAAAATGCCTAGTGAAATTGAAAGAAAAAAAAACAACAGCTGGATCACTTTTATGAGAAAAACAGCAAAACAGGACAGTGTAACAGTCTGTATTCAGCGGAGTTCTGGTTTTGCCAAGTCTTTATTAATATAACCAGGCAATTAAAAAACAAAATAAAAAGGTTCCTTTGTTTAAAATATACTGTCAAAATATACTAAAATTCCCCCTGCACTTTTACTAAAAACGTTTACTTTGGGAGATAATGTTCCTTATGGGAGGCATATTCTGAAATAGTTTGAACTCTGAAATTCTTTTGATTTTTTTTGTGAAATGCTGATCTGGAACACTTGTTTAACACTGATAAATGACATGCTTTGGGTTTTTAATTGTTAATTTAAAATAAATGATGTACTTGTCAAATAAAATCTCCTGTTTTTAAAGCATATTTTCCTTGGCTCTTTGTAGACAGAAATGGTACCAATAAGGTATTTTTTGTTTGGTTTGATTTTTTTTAAACGGGGCCTATTTTTCAAAAACAGCAAAGTTAGGCTTCTAAATCCTTGGGTCTGATTTTTCACAAGTGCTGAATAGATGTGTTTTCCATTGGTTTCAGATAAAGTTGTAGGTGATCAACTATTCTAATCATTGGACCATTACTGATTTACTAATTTCAGTGGACATAAGTTTCATGTTTGTCTTGATAATGCATTATGTTGTTTGTGGATTACAAGTATTTGAGTACTCTGAGGGGTAAACAAACATTTTTTGCTAGCACACAGGATATTACAAATATTGTAATGCTTTCCAGTGAGCTCTGTTCTGTTGTAACAAGTTGCTTGAAACAGATTTGTAGCCTATTGCCTTTACAGTAATTTATTTTTGTTTTGGTTTCAATTTGAAGTACCTATCCCTTGCCCTGTGTGCTTTCAGAGAAACTAAAATGTATAATTACAAAAATAAAAACTATAGAGATGCATACTGGACCAACCATACAAATCACAAAACAACTCACTCATAATAATTATACATCTGATCACTTGCTAAGCCCCCCAAAAAAGATGAACTTTGTGTAGAGATCTGAAGATTAAGCTCTACATAGCACCTTTCTCTGAAAAGAAGCAAAAGCACTTTTTGTATACTAACTACATAGATAGGCTTGGCAGAATTCAATTTTCTTTAAATAATTGACAGATTATTTTTATTGATTTAGATTTTCACAGTTGTGGGAAATCATGGGGGGCAGACTATTTAATGACAGAGGTTGAGATTCAAAAAGTTAAAGCTTTATAACTGTTAACACACAAACTTTTGAAAACTTTGCCATTTAGCAGAATTCAGAAAAGGATTGGATGTTGTTATAGGTAACAAGAACATTCAGTTACAATTAGATTTAGAAGGGATATAACAATCTCATGCTTGAGGGACTAAAACAGTCTTTAATTATTAGGAGTTAGGAAGAAGCTTTCCCTATGGATAGTTTATTCCATCTCTGTCTACTAAAAGTTTTCTTCCATCTTCCTCCAAAACTTCGGTACGGGATACCGTCAGTGACAGGATATTGGACTAGATGAGCCACTGATCTGATCCATCATGTTAATTTCTGTCCCTAGGAAATGAGCAAAGTCTTTTTATCCAACATTTTTCTTTAGATTTAATTTTTTATTAATATCCCTCATCCTTGTTTTTCTCTTGCTTTTTTAGTTTGTCATACTAGCTCACTCATGGCAGGCATTGTAAACGATAGGCAAAATTTACTTGGTAATTATCTGATTTTTAGAATATGGCAGGACACTGAGGTTAACACCGCCACACTTACAAAAAGATCCATGATGTCTTTCATGACCAAGGCACCAAACCTTACACACATGCTTAACTTTATGCATTATGAGTAACCCCATGTCACTAATCACAGTAAGTAAAATTACATACCATGTGTAAGTAAGTCTTTGCAAGATCAAGGCCCAAATAAGATGATCTTCATTTTGTCTCTTCCAAGAGATGCCACTTTCAGCATAAAGAGCCTAAACCAAAGCCCACAGAAGTCAGTTGAGTGATTCCCACTGATTTCAGAAGGATTTGGACCAGGCCCAAAAATATTGAAATATGTTATTCTTTCAAATGTGAGATCTGTAGCAAAGTGTTTACCTTCCTTTTAGATCATCTCTGTTCCTTTTAACAATTCTTAGCAGAATATTTAAACAATCACTTTAATTTACTGCTAGCAAAATATTTAACTTATAAAACTATGTTTTGGACTCCTTGCCTTCATTTCTCAGTTTATTTATTTTGATTTAACATAAAAAAATGGATTATCCCTAGCTATAGGTGCTTTGAGGAATCATTAAGGCCAAGATTAAAAAAAAAAAAAAGTTCCAAAGGTTGACTGATGGCTTCATGGGTATGAGGCATGTATGTGTTGGTACAATAGGTGAGTGAACAACTATATTGAAGCATAAGAACTGTGGGGAAGGGTTGTGCAAGGATTATGAACCAAAAAAAATATACTGGGAACAAAGTAGCCAAGTGTGCATTTCTAATGGGATTTCATGTGTCCCTGAAGAAGCCAGGATACATCAAACAGTTGTGCAAACACAGATGCAGCTTGGTATAAATATTTATTGTTTAACCTTTGTATAGCCATAGTGCCTAGAGGCCAAGCAGGTCAGGACCCTATTGTGCTAGGCACTGTACATCCCTATAGTAATGCCAGTCCATGCCTCAACCAGCTTACAGTCTAAAAGAATAGCTATGTACAGTCATAAGATTGTATAAGGTAGTCTAATAAGATGCATTCTTAATTTTTGCAGTCATTGATAACAGGACATTGACTCTTTCCAGTTCTTCTCTTGTTAACTTCACTGGAAGTAGGATCAAATGGGGCATGATTCTTCCATGGCAGCATACAAGTAATTCCATCTGAAGTCAATGAGACTTACATATATCCTGTGGGTGTAGACTCTGGTTCATTGTAAGTTTCTGGCTGTTCTCAAGGAATGATCCAGGACTAGAGTTGTGGTTGTCCAGGGGGCGTTGATTGTACCTGCATGTAGGGTCTTTGTTTTTGAAGTCTAACCTTAAAAACAAAAACAAAATTCAAAGTTAACTGCAAAATTAGTTTAAGGGTTTTACCCAAAAGATTGATGGTTTGCAGTTGCTTCCCGGATGACAAGCTATCAGAAGTAACACGCAAACAGAAATACAATATCTGTGTTCTACATAGTGTTTTTCCATTCTTTTGTGCACAGCTTTTATTTTTCTACCAAACCTTGTAGTGGATTGTCCCCATTATAGTTCACTTTCTAGATCTCACTGTGTACATACAAGAGACATAACAATGCAGGCTTGATGTCAGCTCTGTCTAAAGCAAAACTGCAGCTTTGTGCCTATGTTGTTAGGAACCCAGACATACAGCATTGCATACTGTCCTTGCTGTATAATATAATTTGGCCACTTATCCCACGTTATTGCAATGGAGTTGCATAGGAGACTTCTAACGTCCACATGAACTCAGCTCAAGGGCTAGAGCGAGGATCTTTTTAAAAAATATAAAGAGTCTGGTGGGTGTTTTATTTTATTTGAATTTTCAGTCCTTATGAATGAGAGATTTATTAGCAATACCCAGATCTAATGACAGGCTCAGGTCCTGCAGAAACTTACACATAGGCCTTATTTTACATATGTAAGTAGTCTCACTGAAGTCAATTGGACTACTTGCATTTAAATTAAGAGTGTGCATAAGTCTTTGAAGGATCAGGGCCTTGGTACAGACAGGTGATTTCCAAGTCTCCCCTCTTTGCTCCAACTTTTGCTAATGCTTCTCAGTTCTCTGTATGATCAACCGTATTCCCCTTGCTCACTGAACTAGAAATACAGTTTGCGCCCGAGGAAAAAATGTGGCAGAAAGTTGCAACAAGAATGATTGGGAGAAACCCCACTCACACAGAGAGGAGATGAGCCTCTGAATTTATCATCAGCTGGTTGGCTAGTATTGGCTGCAAGTAGTATTTTTTTTAAAAGGCTTCTCTCCAAATATATTTCTCTCTAACATACAGCCTATGCACATTTGACCTTTTTGTGGCAAATAGCTGCTGTCAACCAATGGGTATCCAGGCACAGCAGACAAGTATAAAGGATTACAGTTTAGATGTTTTTCCCTATGATTTCAAACAAAATGTTGCAGATTAACTGGTTTCAAAAATGGATCTGTAGGATCAATGAATATGGATAATTCTTGCAACAATTTCCATCTGTTCTAGTACTTTTTGCTTTTGAAGGAATATGGTGTATTGCATATGGTAATGTAATGTCAAAGGGTTTAATATCACATTTTGATCAAAGCAGTAATATATTATTGTCCAAGCTTTCTGGAAAAAACCATTATTATAGACATTGTTTTTTGGCACGGTATCATTTCCATAGCTGATAAGATGCTCTGTGGTGTTAACATGGCATATTTTTGTTGGCATGTAAAATCTCACAGGATGGAAGGAGGAGGGGTAGGATTTATCAGGATGGCTGCAGTGGATGAGTTGATAGGTTTTGTTTTCCAAACTGTTGATGTCTTCCATTGTGTTTTGTTTCAAATATTTAAAAGAGAAGGGTCTGGAACATTCTAAGTCCTCTTTTCATTCAGTAAGAAAAGAGATCAGTGACAGTTTATTTTTCTTTCTGTCTAAGGTATTTAAAAGGTACCTACCATCTCGATGTCTTAGAAACATTGATTTCCTTTCTATGTCAGTTTGCGAGACTTTCCATGTCCTGGTTAATATCTGCCTATATTTCAGTCACAGATTCATCATTCCTGCTGTGTTATATTCTTTTTGGTAACTGGACACAAAATAAGCACCCCTATCTTAGAAATACATTCATTTGCAACAACAGATCTGTCAACTGTCATGGTTTTCTAAACATCTTGACTGTTCCATCAGCTTGTTTACCTACATTCTACCCATCATTTCTTGTGTCTATAGGGCTACCTATGTGTGATCCCTCTGAGAGTATTTACAGCATGAATGTGAGGCAATAGATATATGTGGAATCTGGAAAACTTAAT